AGAGCATCGCCCCGACCCCCGATCTTTCTGTGGAGGGGTGCAGATTGCAATGCTCTGTTTTTGAGACTGGCGATATGAGGAGCTTTATGACTTGGGCTGCTGCTCGCTCAGCAGTCCCACCCCTGAGCAGGTCAGCCTGGTATGCTTGTAACACCGCCATGGTGTGCAAACATGCGCCAGCCTGACCTGCCGCTGTATAAGCTTTCCCAACCAGACTCGATGTAAGCCTAACGGGCCTGGTGGGAAGCTTCGGGGCCTTCAGGGACGATGCTGAGGATGGGGAGAGATAGCTCGCAAGCGTCTGCTCCACCACTGGCATCGCCCCATATCCCTTATCATTCAGCCCCACGATGTTCTTTTTGAATAATTCGAGACTGTGAGGCTGTAAATACGGGTGTAACGTAGTTTGCAGGTCGGGAAGAAGGAGGCGGGAACCGGCGAACATTCCAAGAAAACTTTAATAATAAAATAAACACCAAATAGCGCGACAGCCCCTCGCGGACGGCTGCCGCGCACAAACGAAACCAAAACACAAAATAAACTCCAGGCCTGGTCCTCTCTCGTCTTTCCCTGTCGTCCCTCCTCCTTTATATCCTTCCGGAGCTCCTACGTGAGACTCGAGACCGGTGAGTGGCGCAGGTGTCGCGCATTCGCAATTACTCCACCGGCCTCGCTCTGTTCCCACGGCTCTCGGCCCCGCCCCTCTCGTTACAATGGGATGAGTACGGTTTCTCCCACATTCTTTACACCTCAGCATGGAGATCGGGGAAAAACGGAAGGCCCCCGTCGTGAAGGCTGTGATCTGGATTCAGAAAACGCTCATCTAATTATTTTTAGGACGAGCGTCCTGTTTCTAGCCTGGCCAAACGATATTTTATTTTGGCGCGGAACACACCCCATAATCACGAATCACACCTCATACGCGAGGGACTGTGGTGGCGAGTCCACAGTCTCCTCTGTCTCGACACTCATCACATCCACCTCCTCGGAGGAAGATAGATGAAGCGGGGGAGAAACCGCAGCGCGGCCTTCCGAACACTGAGAGAGAGCCGTGGATCTAGCAGGTGAGGACCGAGAAAAGGACGAGCCCGTCTCGGATCCCTCTGCTAAATCCACCCATGATCCCCATGACAATCAGCTCCTCGAAAGCTGACCGTGCATGCTCCGCTCCCAAACAAACGACACACAAATCGTGTGTATCCCCTGGCGCCAGATATCGTGGGCAGGGAGGAACACAGCGTTTGTAATGCCGTTCGCTCGCCATAGACTTTTTCATGATTGTTTTTATATATGCTTGTGCGGACAGACAACAGTAAATAGACAGACACATACACCGGATGCGCTTTTATACTTTCTGGTGCTTACGTCACCCCACTCGTGACGTCTCGCTACTCCATTGGACTGATTTGACACGTGCTTCAGAACGCGGTCACGCAAGGGCGTTCCCAAAGCGACTTCGCAAAGCGACTTCGACGCAGCTCGAGTTCCTGAAGGGGAATAAATGCATGCAAGGTCTGAGGTAAAATTAAATGATTTAGTTTTCCACTCCCGATATATACTTTTAACATATAATATATTCATTTTAAATAATTTAATAGTAATATAATTCATTTTAAAATGTAAGATTAGCATGACAGTAATATGGAACTTATCCTTTGTAAAAAAAATAATAAAATACAAAGCGAAACAAAAAAATTTAAACAACTAGCCTATTTGCATTGTCAACTAGCAGCAGCAGCATTATCATTTAGTCAACTATTCGACTAGTCTCGCTAGTTATTATGTTACATCCCTAGTTATTATGTTAATGTAAATTCTTTAGAGTTGATAAAGCTGTTTAGCTGGGTTTGTTTTCAATAATACAGCCTTACGTAACTCAGAAAAAATACTTTGAACTGTAATTCATTCAGCTTTTTATTTGCTGTGTTGGTTAAGTGGACTTAATCGTACCCTTTATGTTTGTCTGTGCCCTGTAAGTCAACCCTGTAAGTGTTTGGCGATTTACTCGCTAGCTGAGAAGAGTCAATACAGGATCAACATGCTGAACTGTTTTTAAAGGGCAGAGCACATGCAGGCCAGACGTTTCTAACATTATCTTGTACAGCAAAGAAATAGTGGTTCACTGTGTGTATTAGCACAGAAAGGGCAAATGGGCAGTTTAGCTTTTCTTTTTTTTAAGACTTTAGTTAATCATCATTTTACAAGTTAATCTTAGTGATTTATTGTGTCTTTTTGTATATGCTACAAAGATCATAGGCAGGAATCCAGTTCATACTCCCTTTCGCTTAATGCTTTTTGTAGTTAGGATTGACCTTGAATATATATTTTTTTATCATTTACAGTGGGGGAAAAAAGTATTTAGTCAGCCACCAATTGTGCAAGTTCTCCCACTTAAAAAGATGAGAGAGGCCTGTATACAGGCCTCTCTCATCTTTTTAAGTGGGAGAACTTGCACAATTGGTGGCTGACTAAATACTTTTTTGCCCCACTGTAAATGTGGTGAATATGTTGCCAAGAGATTTTTTTCTGTGCAGTTTCACATAAAATTCCCACTTTATGAATGGCAGCATACATTTAAATTTACATTAAAAAAAATATGTTTTTGAAAATCTTATGCTCAACAAATATACAGTAAAACAGTAATAATTAGAAATATTATTACAATTTAAAAATCCTGTTTTCTGTTTGCATATATTTTAAAATGTAATTTATGTCTTTGCTGGTGAAGCTGAATTTTCAGCATCATTACTCCAGTCTTCAGTATCACATGATCCACGTTCTAATATGCTGATTTGCTGCTCAAGAAACATTTCTGATTATTCTTCTCATAATGTTGGTTTATTATTATATTTTTATTTTATTTTGTGGAAACCACACACACACACACACTGTGCAATCTGAAATTCACTTTCCTGTGGGCAAACAAATGCCTTTCATTCTAAATCATTCCTCATACGATTCATTACAGCCCCTCTTTTAACTCATAATAGCCCTGTCTGCTCTGCTGTGAGTAAACCATAATTAAATCCCACTTTAATTTAACTGGTTAACAAGCCTAATCTCTAGAGAGCTGTAAACATGAAAAACTGAACTCAGTGGGAATTAACACTAGGCAGAGATCAGGAGCAGCATTAACACTCTGTTTTCCTTGGTTGTACGCCAGTGTCCAGTCAGCAAAGGTCTCTGGGTGCCTGTGAGCAGTGAATCGAAGGACAGTTTGACTTTTACACGTGTGGAGGCTGAGGAATGTGGCATCAAAACAGCAGTTTTTTTCTTCTTTGTGAAAGGAGATGCGAAATGTGGAACATTAGCAAACTGCCTCATTTTATACACCAGATTACACATAATTGATATAATGATGTATTTAATATGATGTAGAACATAATTTAATTTCAACATAAATTGCGATGTTATTTATTTTTTTGGAACCTAAGATGAGTGTACTAGAATGCATCATAACATAAAATCTATTGTTTAAAAAAGCCTAATAAATAAATAATAGTGCAGACCAATTTAAACTGTTAAAGTGTAAAATCTGCTTACTTGACACTTCCGATTTATATTTTATTCTTCTGTTAGTGCTTGTACATATGCTAACAGGGTCCAATTAACATTCACCAAGTGCGAAATGGGAGTGAATACTGACTAATTAATCTGTAACTCTTAAAACATGGTTTAAAACACAATATAAAAATGAAAGTTATAAAAAGAAACTTCTTATTGCTGGTATCCAGAACTAGCACATTGCTGGTATTGAGCCACCCATATAAACATAACCAATAACCATTTTTGTGAAAGACAGTATTTCACAGACTCATTAGTATTTAGGGAAATTAGAGGGAAATTATCAAAAGGAGAAAATATATATATTTTAATATAGTAATGAATGTTATAGTCTGTAAAATTATTCCTGTATATTTGATCAGTTCAGCAGGTTTACCAGGTTAGTGTAAAACCCTGTACAGTAATATAAACTAGTGGCTCTTAACCAGGGGTTCACAGAATGACTTAAAATGGTTTAAAATTAAATTTTGTTTTTATTTTAAAATAAGCCAAAATACTAAAAACATAACATCAAAGTGAATATTGTGTTGTACAAGAGGCTGAGAACCACTGATGTAAACAAGTGTAGTGTAACATAAGCAAATCATAGTGGCCATAATGTAATAATTCTCAATAAATCACCTGCAAGCACTTGCATAGTTTTCATAAACCTACATTTTAGCAACCAAGTCCACACTGGATGGCAAACATGTCAGGAGCATGAAGTGGAATCTGCACTGCCCTCTGGTGTCACAACAGTGTCATTTCAATATTCACTGGATGAATGGATGACAAAAACACAAATTTATGTGGATGGATTGACTCATCAGTAATAATATAAGTATTTTTGCGCTGCTATTTGTGTCATAATTGTCAAGTGTGTTTGTGTGTAGGAATCTGGAGCAGTACGTGGAGACACTGAGGACTGATTCTAGCCTTGCTGCGTCTCAGAGATCCGTGACGCTGAAGGAGGTAGAGGAGGGAGCTGTCAGTCTGAGGAAGGTGGGCGAGAACCTGGCTGGACTGAAAGGTACAACAACATAAATTACTCACTGAAATACCTCAGACAAACTATTTTATATAATAACTGATTGTAAGCAACTGGACTTTGCTTTCTTGTTGTTCAGAATGTTTTCCTTAGTTACAGGAAGTTGAGTATTCTCCAGTATTAGACTTGCCCACACATGTTAATATTATGCAACTTAAAGAAACTGTGGGCCAGCTGTGTCCTTTGGGGTGTGGATTGTGACAGATCCACCGCGATACGCTGTTTGTCACTTGCTTACAGTGCTAAAATGGCATCTTTATATAGAATATGCTCACATTTCACACCTCCAGGGAAAATCCTCCCACTCCACTCCAATCATATGCTTCATGACGCACCACATGCGTAAACCGTTTTAAATGTCAGGTGGTTTTAACACTCAGACTAGTAGCAAAATATCTTTCTTGCAGAAGAGTTTCCATCTCTTCAATCCCGTATGCGGGCGGTGCTCAGGGTGGAAGTGGAGGCCGTGAAGTTCCTCAAAGAAGAGCCGCACAAGCTTGACAGCATGCTGAAGAGAGTCCGAACCCTCACGGACACACTCAGCAACCTTCGCAGGTACAGATAGAGAGAGAAAGAGATGGAGACAGACGTTTCAACTGCGAATAAAACAAGATTGTGGTTAATAAAATACTACTATATGAGAAACTTTATGGATCTGTACACCTTCTGATTCCAGCCACGTATCCAAGCAGCATTATGGAAATTAATATGCAGTTTCTGTTTTCCATCTTTCATTCATATCGTAATCATGTGTGAGCAGAGACTCTGTATAGGTTTAAACAGATGAGAGATCTGGAGCATCTGCTGCTAGTCACTTCCTTTCTCCTCCGTGTCAGACCTGATCAGACAGACTCAAGCCGGTTGCCGTTCTCTATGAATGTGCGAATGTAATGAATATTACCAGCACTCTGGAAAAAAGTGTTTTGTTTCTAAAGCTCCACTAGCAGCACCAAATGTAATTGCAAAACTAAACAAGTTTTTACACATTCTGAAGAAAATGTGTGTGAATATGTGTGTTGATAGGTGGTTGCTAGGGTTTTCCGGGTGGTTTCTAATTGGTTACTTATTGGCCCAAGTCAAATGTGTTCTCCCTCAAGTCTAGATATGGCTCACGTTTCTCCTTTGGTGGAAGTCGCTAGGATTTTAATGCCCATTTTGTTATCTGCCAAGCAAAAATCAGGCGAAAACCTGAGTGCTTAAAGTCATTTAAATTAATTTTTTCCTCTTTTTCTTTTTTCTTTATATTTTTTATAATATATTTTATATAGTGTAATTAAATTTTAAATTTTTTTAATGAAATGTAATTACTTTAATTAATTAAATTTAATTAGATTATATTTTTATCTTACATTATATTTTACCTGCTTAATTTTTTTCTTTTTTAATGGGGTCATATGATGCGATTTCAAGTTTTCCTTTCTCTTTGGAGTGTTACAAGCTGATCGT